CACCTTGTGGTGGGCAGGACCACCATGGTTGGCTCAACCGAAAGATCGCTGGCCCGCTCAGCCAACGTGCTCGGACGAGCAGTGTACAACAGAATCGCGCCCAGGAGTGTCACTCTTCACAACTAACATAAAGGTGGACTACGACTGGGATCTCATCTACAAGTACTCATCGCTCAATCGACTGCTCAGAATCACAGCTCTCTGTCAGGTATTTATTCGACGATTGAGAAATCGACACGATGGCCCTCAAGCCTCACCCATCTCAGTCGCTGACTTAGAGCAAGCTAAAATCTTCTGGATCAAGGTTACACAATCAACATTTTTTGCACATGAGCTGAAAATGCTCAGCTCACAATCACGTCTAGCAACTTCTCATCCATTCAGTCGTCTCACAGCATTTATTGATCATCAAGGAGTTGCTCGTGTGGGAGGACGACTCAAGAATTCCACCCTCAATTATGAAGGCAAACACCCTGCAATACTCCCTCGCCATTCGAGATTGTCTGAATTAATCATCAGCTGGTCCCACCAACGGACACTACATGGAGGAACGCAACTCACCTTGGCGCATATCAGGCAATCATATTGGATCATCGGTGGACGTGCTCCAGTAAAATCTCATATCTTGCGGTGTGTGGTGTGTGCTCGACAAAGGGGGATTCGTGCCCATCAATTGATGGGCCAACTACCTCTGCCTCGGGTCACACCCTCACGTGCATTCACGCATACGGGCATCGATTACGCTGGACCACTCACACTCAAAACATGGAAGGGAAGAGGAGCCAAAACGCATAAAGGATGGATTTGTGTGTTTGTCTGTCTCACCACATCTGCAGTTCATTTAGAAGTTGTTTCAGACTACTCAACGGACGGATTCATCTCAACGTACAGAAGATTTGTCTCAAGAAGAGGCATCCCTCATTCATTGTACTCTGACTGTGGCACGAACTTTGTCGGAGCAGAGAAATCACTCCAGACATTGTTCACAGAGAGTTCTCAAGATAACCGGCGCATCTCATCTCTGCTTGCTCAAGATCGCACTCAATGGATTTTAATCCACCAGCTGCTCCACACATGGGTGGCAAATGGGAAGCAGTGATAAAATCACTCAAACACCACTTGCGTCGTACCATAGGAGAGACGTTGCTCACATTCGAAGAAACGACAACCCTGCTTGCTCAGATTGAAGCGATCTTGAACTCACGACCTCTCGAACCACTCAGCGACGACTCAGATGACATCTCAGCGCTCACCCCAGGACATTTTCTCATCGGAAGTGCTCTCACATCAGTACCGGAGCCGTCACTGAAGGACTTAGCAACCTCAAGGTTATCCCGATGGCAATTCATACAACAGCGAGTACAGCAATTTTGGTCTCAATGGTCAGCTCAATATCTGCAACGACAACAAGCAATCTCGAAGTGGCATCACCCATCCAACGACATACAAGTGGGCTCATTGGTTCTCATCACCGACGAGAGGCTCCCGCCATGTAAGTGGCCATTAGCCAGAGTCTCCACCCTGATGCCAGCCAAGGA